AAAAAATAAAGTCCATTTTTGGTCCGGACCAAACAATTGGACCAAAGGACTTTCCTGGTCTGAAAACACCCATAAATCTGTGGATCTGTGTTTGATTACTCTGCCTGGCTTTCTCAAGGACCAGGATGTGACACAAAAATCTGAATGATGGAACTGAAAGTGAAAGTAGTCAAACTGAATTTTTAATAAACCAAAATACAGTTTCAAAGCAAATTAATTCAAATTTAAAACTTTAAATTCAGTTTCAATTTACTTTCAAACCAATGCATTCAAATTCAAATTATGCACATTCAGATTCAATCTGAGCAATTCAAATTCACTTCCTGCTGGCACAAGATTGATCCCTTATTAACCTGCTCTATTTTATTTAAAGGTATTTCTTTGATCTCACCTGCAGCATCAGTGTGAAGGGGAGGAACCTGGCTCTCTCCTTCCTCCAGCTCAGCCTGCAGCCGGATGTTCACGTGGTTCACAAGGTGGGAGAACAGAGCCAGGGTGAAGGCTATGGATGCACTGTACTGCTTTGATCCTAAAGAAACCACACATTTGTGTTTACGTTCACCTTCTTGTTAAGTGTTCAACACAAACAGCAGAACACCAACCTCCCCTCTTCAGACTGTGCACCACCATCAGACACGTGACGACCATCTTGAAGATGAGGATGTCGGGCAGAACAGGACAGGAGCTGTCGGTGTGCTGCTGCTGCTCCTCCTCTTCCTCGCTGGGGCAGTGGTGAGCACCTCCTTGTGTTGGAGGAGGAAGGTAAAAGAGCACGAGGTTGAAGTCCTCCAGCACCGACTGGCAGAGCGACGTCAGCTCCGTCTCCATCAGACTTCAAACAGGAAACAAAACAACGAAGATGAAGAATTAAGGTCAAATAAGCTATGAGTTGCACCATGTTCACACTCCCCATGTTGGGTCTGGGCCTTTACAGTCAGAGATAATCGGATCCGCCAAGTCTCTGCAAACCTTTACAATCCTGTGCACACTGACAGCAAAATACCAACGTTTTAATTCATTTATGCAGCTTTTGAATTAAAAACAAAAATAGAAGGTATGAAAAAACTTTAAAAAATAGAAAAATTCCACAAAACCTGTTTTTTACTGACTTTATCAACTATGTTTTTAAGTAACACTGAACCCCCCCCTCCATGCATTACATTAAATGTTGAAGATCAATGAACTAAAGGGATGGGTACCAAATTATATACTTTTATAAGTACTGGCCGAATTCTGTTGGTACTACCGAGAACCTATTCACGTAAAATCAAAAGGTACCATGTTTTGGTACCTAAATGCATCATTTTGACTGTATTGGCGTAAGAGTGGGAGATTTTCCATGCTTGTCCTGAGCACACCCATTTACTATTTACCATAAAGAGTGTAATGATGTCAGCAGCCGCTGGTTTAGTAAACAGAGTCCGGTCTGAAAGTGGGGCTGGGCGATATGGCAAAAAAAAAAAAAAAAAATCAAAATTAATTTTTTTATATTGACCGATCACGATTAATATCACGATTTTTTTGTTAACCTAAAAAGTGACTGAAAATTTATTTAACAAATAAATAGCTACAGAAATAAAAAAAAATAAAGGCTGTTATTTCACTAATATTGCTGTGGTTCAGAAGAGCATTAAATTATTTTTGCAAGATATTAAAAAAGGTATTTACCAAGATAAAAAAAACATTATTTATGTCTAAATCATAGAATCTGACATTAATAAAGTTATCCTTYTGTAAAATTCAAGTTTTAGAATTGAATTTCACATTAAATATGTCATAAACATAAACCGTACAAACAGCAACAATTTGTGCACACTTTAATTAGGATCTCATCTCATTATTTACTTTTGTTTAGTACCACCACTTTATTTATTTCATCCACCATTAAACAGAGACCAGCAGAGGAAAACAACAGAGGAGCTTCCTGACAGTCTGAACACGTCTGACCTAAAGAGCACAAGCAGCTAACTTGAAGTGTTGGACGTGTTTTGGATGCTCATAACTTAGCTTGAATACCTTTTATTTATTTTAACTCCATCCGCTTTTGCTTATTTGATTTAAACTTATTTGCCTTCCATGGACCTCCATCACACAGTTTTCTAGCGGGGAAATGACATCAATAGAAACACGTGGAGCTGGATTTTATTTTGTGTAATAAGACAAAACAGTCTTGTTGTTTTCAACAGTTTGCACTTTAAAGAAATAAGTTACACAACTGATGTTACAATACAAAGAGTTGGATGTTGTCTTGATATTTGTTAATTTTATATATTGAAAAATATGTTAAATAAAAAAAAGTTTATTATTAAAAAAAAAAACACACAAAACACTGAAAATTGGTACCGTTGAGTACTGGTACAGATTCCCAGGTACCAGATATTGGTACTGAGTCGATTCAAATGTCAAAGGTACCAAAGAGTGGAGGAAACCTGAGCAGTTTACCTGTTCTTGGGCTGCAGCAGGCTCTGAAGGTACATGAAGCTCACCAGGAGGCGTTTAATGTCTTTGGATCTGCACAAAAATCAAAACAAGTTAGAGAAAACAGAACTTTATATAAACTTCACCCAATTAAAAGGCTTATTTTGGGCTTTCATGTGGAAACAAACTGGTAGAATATTCTTTAAAAAGCATTTTAAATGAGAAAAGAACAACTTGTGCAAAAAAATAAAATGTTAATTTAATACAAACTTCAGGGAGCACAAAGCATGTCTTTCTAAAAGGATTTATTTCCTCTTTATTCAATCATCTAATTTTATTTACAGAAAGATCTGACAGTTGGTAGCAAACATGTTCATTTACTAAAAATACTTTAACTAAAGCTTCACAACCAAGAAGAAAATACCATTCACTCGTATTATTTGGAGTTTTAAAAAGCTCGTAAGATCAGCTGTAAGAGCAGCCTGACTTCCTGCAGCGGCTCCTCCTCACCTCTGTCGAGACGGAGACAGCTTCTTCATTTCCTGCTTCTTCACTTGGTGGTACATCTTAGCAGCTTTGTCAAACAGGCGCTTCAGGTTGCCATAGGCCCCCTCAAAAGGAATATCTGATTGGATGCTGAACAAAAGATGACTTTTTTAAATTATTTTCTAAGAACTGATCAACTTGTGACTTGGTGAACAGCTGCATGTTGACATCTCTCACCAGCGTAAATAGTAATATGTTGCTTCAACGTTGTAGAATTTGCTCCCAGCCAGCGTTCCCAGTTGGTTAAAAGGCATTCCTGATGAAATGTGGTTGAAAAAATAAAGTTCAGATTTATTATTGATGAGAATTATCAGCCAACATCCACATCCCCAGATCTGTAAATGAAATTTAACATCAATAAGCAGATTATTATGACCTCTGGCTGTTAAAGAGAAACTCGTGGGTTGTCTTGTATGAGTCATAAGTTTCAGAAAGTGTTTATGTTTGATGTAGAGTCAGTTACTTAAATCATTGCTGTTAAAAAAGCAGAAATAAAACAAGCCTGCAATGATTTGGTGCATCCTAAACTTCAGTTCAAAACTGGGTATTCCTACATCTGATACCTAAATAACAAAATATTTAACAAGTATTGCATGACAAAAAAAAAAACATAATAAATTTTAGAAGTGATATCTGAGCATAGTGAAGCTAGCAATAGAGATGTTTGTTAAATCTAAAATCAAAACCAGTTTAAAGGAACGGACTACTTCAGTCCAGGGTATAAGATTATGTAATAATCTGGAGGATGGTGTTAAAAAATGCCAGATCAATGTGTATATTTAAGAGAATGATAAAGGTTTGTTGGTGAAATATGTGAGCCATCACATCGAAACGAGGATTAAGTCCAAAAGTGGTATAAGGAGAAATAGGCAAATATAGTGTTCTGACTAAATTGTTAACAAAAATTACATTTTGTCAAAATATAATGTATCATTTGAATGAACTGTCTGAAATTTAATCATAAAACAAAAATTTGAAGCACTTTTTTGAGCAGTAGCAACAAAAAAAAACTGATTTTGAGGAAAAACTCCTTAAGATTTTGAGATTTTCCCTGTGAGTTAGCAAAGTTTTGTTTCTTTTCAGCTGGGAAATCTCAATATACAAATATAATTTGAGGTTTCCTCTTTATAAGGACATCAAAAATTCCTCAATAAAATGAGATAAAATTAGGATTCAGACCAAATATTTATGCATTATTGTAACCAACAAGACAAATTAAGTCATATATATGGATTTAATGATATCAGAATGATCCAGGTATCAAAATGTAGCTTTTAAAGCCAAGAATCTGAAAATGTAATTAGGTCATTTTGACCAAATTGGACTCAATCCTCATTTCAATATGATGGGCCACATATGTAAATGTATAATGTAAGAATTGATGCTCAAGGTGTTAAAGCTTTATTGTTTTTCTTTTTTGTATGTTTTTTGTTTTTGTCATTTGATTATTTTTGATTGAATTTATTTGAGAAAAAGGGGCAGATTTAAGATTTTTTCTTCTTCTTTCATTTCATTTATGATTCGTATTCTTGTTGTACATTGAATTTATGTAGTTAAATTCTATGTATCTGTGTGTGTGTGTGTGTGTGTGTATATACAGTATATACACACACATACATACATACCTACCTAATTTTTGTCTGAGTAACTGAAGACACAACAGTAACACATCCTTCACCTTAATACTAAAACCAATTTGAAGTTTGAGCTGTTCAATTTACCACAAAATGTTTGTGTTTAATAAAGACATGAAAGTGAGGTCACTCACCAACATGTGGCATGACAGACAGGGCTTGATGGTAAAACCTCTCTGCCAGCTGCTCAGTCTCAACTCCAGCGAGTTCATTTTGGTAACGAGCTGAAACACATTACAATCACCAAAACACAAAAAAATAAATGTACATAATTATCCTGTGAAACTACATGTTGTTTCAGGAACTGTGAACAAATTAAAGCAGATATTTCTACAAAATTAACTAAAGTCAAACAGAAATCATGTTTATTATCATGTTATTGATTAAATGAAGCATTAACTGAAATACCAGTGTGTTCTTATCTTATAAAGTCTAAACAAACAGTCTGTTCCCAGTTATTCCAGAAGACTGCGCCAAATTTCTCCCCACACTGAACGCCGCTCACACCTCTACAAGCCTGGGAGAAAGATGCATTAATTACATATTCTAATAACATATTATTACCCAGATCTCCAAGGTAGACCAGACAGCGATGACAGGCCATCTGCGCCCACTCCATCTCCTTGGGGGAGGCTGACACGGGTTTCTTTCGGCCTGAGAGGAACAGCTCCAGTTAGTTTTCTAACATTTAGCAGATGCATTCAACTAAAATTATTTATCATTAAAATATATTCCAGGAAACAGTCAAACTGATGCCTTGATAAAGGTTTCTGTCACAACTAGTGGTGCTGTGAAGAGAAGAAGCAGGGAACTCTCTGATAACCATTAAAGTCATAACGCAGCTTTATCATCTCCCTCTGTGTGTGTGTGTGTGTTTGTGTGAGAGTGTGTGTGTGTTTGTGTGAGAGTGTGTGTGTGTTTGTGTGAGAGTGTGTGTGTATTTCACAGCTAACCGATGAGCGGATCTGTGACGTGGGTCCAGTCGATGCAGTCCTGCAGCTCCAGCTGGTAATGTGACTGAATGTAGAGCAGCAGGTGTTGGTAAAAACCCACTCCAGCGATCAGGTGGGTCCTGTAGGCACACTCCAGAGCGCTGCGACTGTGGATGTGCTGCCAAACAGACAGAAAACAAGACTTTAGAACAGGGTTCCTACAGTTTAAAGAAAGCTCAATTTAAGACTTTTTAATGCCTACTAAAATTACATTTAAGACCAATTTCATAATAAAACACAAAAATGACAAAAATAAATAAATAAAACTGTAGCAGAAAGTCATGAAGCAAAGTATTTTTGGTTGAAGTATTCAAATATTGATAATAGACCAATAGTTTTTATCCAGATCCAACTGCTTTTTCTTCAAATATAGCAAAAACTTTCTTAGCATTCAGTTTAATGACCCAAAATTTGGAGTTTTAGGACCCACAGTGGGGTTTTAACTGCAATTTGCTGTAGATAAAACCTTAAAGTGCCTGTGACATCAACTTTTGTAAGAACAGTTAATGCGTTTTTGAAATGACAACATTATTAACATATTACAAAACAAATTTCACATTGCTCAGATGGACAGCTGTTGAGATATTTGCATGTGAAATAACAGGAAGTGATGTCAAATAGGAATGTCTGCATGTAAATAGTAATAAAAATAATTGTTACCAATTATTTTAATATTTTAGATGAATTACAATCACCCTAATTACAATATGTTAACATTTTAAGGCTTCTGAAAGATTGATTGAAGACATTTTAAGGCTAATTAAAGCCTTATTTTTGGATCGATGAATTCAACGCCGTTTAAGACTTTTTAAGGATCTGCAGGAACCCTGTAGTGAAACGTTCACAGCAAAATTAAATAACATTTTCTGATATATTGAAATAAATCTGAAATGCAGGCCCACATTCAACATAAACAAAACATTCAGCTGAAAACTACACAAAAGCTTCAGTCATGATTAAACTACATTAGACCAGCAGTAATCAGTGTACATCAGGGCTATTCAACAGGAAACCCCTGGATTTCTACTTTAATTACTGAGTTCTTTTAGTTCAACAGAGACATGTTTGGTATCTACTGAAATGTCAGAACCTTGGCTACAAACTGGTAAAAACCATTTCTATGAACACTCAAGACAGTTAAAATTACAAGCAGTTGAAGATATAACTACGAAAGTGAAAATAAAATTACCTTATTTTTCGGACTATAAGCCGCACCGCACCCCCCACCCGCCCATCAGTTAAAACAAAAACAAAACAGTACACCCAAAATTGTGGTCAAAAAAGTGAATTCAACATCACATTTATTTTTAAGAAAAAGGTTGGCAAGTTCACCGGTACTAATAATAATAATAATAATAATAACAATAATAATAATAAACTCTCGGAAAAAAAAGGCGAGAGGTCTGGAATTAAAACAAAAAAAGCAAACCTTTAGAAATTACTGGTAAAGTTCGGAGGAATATGGTTCATTTAACTGACCCTATTTTGGTAGTTTTCTTTAACAGTTTCTGGTCCAACAAAACGTCTCATTGTCCTCCGGCGCACTGAAACCATCGAAGTCCTCCTCTTCAGTGTCGGAGTTAAACAAGCTGAGAAAAGCTGCGTCACACAGCGGTATCTGTTCAGTGTCGGAGTTAAACAAGCTGAGAAAAGCTGCGTCACACAGCGGTATCTGTTCAGTTTCTGTGTCGCTGTCCTCCCGGGCTGGCTCTGAAGCTGTGGTGCCCGCTTCACGTAGCAGTCCAGCCTTTCGGAACCCATTGGTGATGGTGGACTCATTCACCCTGCTCCACGCTGTTAGAATCCACTGGCAGACATCAGGAAATGTCACTCTTCGCATTCGGCCAGTTTTTGTGAATGATTTATCCCCGTTAGTCAGCTGCTGGGAAAGCCCTTCCGCTCCAGCATACGTCACTTCATGGGATTCCTTCCCCGGGGAGTGCAATGCCAAAAAAAAAATGTCAGCAGCTCTTCACTCGACGTTTATCCACAAACTGGTCCTGGATTAAGCTCCAAAGTTTTTATCAGTCAGATTCCACCATGAAAAATGTCTGTTTTATCCCCTTTTATGAGTTTTTGGCCATTGACTATCTTTAAATCGCTGCTTCCTGGTCAACAGTCGGCTCTGGAAGCGATCGCTTTTTTCTTTTTTCTTCTTCTTTTTTTGAAGCGAGTGGTTGAAGCAAATGGAGCGTAAGAGCCCCCTGGTGGCTGAAGAAAAAAATCCACATATAAGCCGCACCGGACTATAAGCTGCATGGTTCAAAGTTCAGGGAAAAAGTCGCGGCTTATAGTCCGAAAAATACAGTGGTTTAAAAATTTGGTAAGTCAGAGATGTCAGAATATTATTTGTGGTAAACAGGAAGCAGAATGTGTTATTTTAGATTTTGTTGTCGTTTTATTATCACGACTTACAACCTCACAATTCTTATTCTTCAGATTCTGGTATTAATCCATTCATGACATAAAAACTACTGCCAATAACCCCTTCTCATCAGGGAAAAATACTAAAAACACTACGTTAGGTCTCAGTTCCTGTGTGATCACCTATTTATTGTGTAGTTATGTGATCAGCAGAACTGAGCTTCAGGCAGAAACCTCAGTGTAAGACCACACACGACAAAGTGATTGACACATCCACAGAGACATCTTCCACAGCAGGTGGGCTTCTTGTTGGTTTTCTTACCTTCTTGTTTGTCTTGATAACCTGGATGACCTCATAGTAAACCTTCCTCCAGAGCAGCTCCTCAGCCTTACGGCCGTAGTCGACAGGATGAAGAAACATCAGTTTCACACAAAGCTCCCTCAGCCTAAACAAACAAACAAACAAACACACACACACACACACACACACACACACACACACACACACACACACACACAC